CAAAGATCACTACATAATACTAAAGGGACCAATCAAAAAGAGGATATAACCCTGGTAAGCATATATGCACCTAATATAGGATCGCCTAAATAAATTTTAACAAAAAAACATCTAGAGGACTTTAAGGGAGAGATCAACAGTAATACAGTCATAGTACAGGACTTTAACATCCCACTGAATTCACTGGATAGATCTTCCAGATAAAAAAATTAACCAGTAACTAAATGACACACTGGATCAGATGGATTTAATTGACATTTTATAGAACAGTCCTACACAAAGCTGCAGAATATACATTCTTCTCAAGTGCACATGGGTCATTCTCAAAAACAGACCATATGTTAGGACACAAAACAAGTCTCTATATGTTCAAGAAGATTGAAATAATATCAAGCATCTTCTCAGATCACAATGGAATGAAATTACAAATAAACGACAGTAAAAACACTCAAAAACATTCAAATAAGTGGAGGCTGCATAGCATGTTATTAAACAATGAATGGGTTACCAATGAGGTCAAGAAAGAAATAAATGACTTCCTAGAAACAAATGAAAATGAACATACAACAACCAAAAATCTCTGGGACACAGCAGAAGCAGTCCTGAGAGGGAAGGTCATAGCACTACAGGCCTACCTAAAACAAAGAAAAAAAAGAAAAAAAAGAAAAATCAACAATAAACTATTTAAACCTACAACTTAAAGAATTAGAACAACAAGAAAAGCCCAGAGTAAGTAGAAGGAAGGAAATAATAAAGATGAGAGCAGAAATAATGACATAGAGACAAAAAAACTACACTAATAAAAGAGAACCATGCAAATTGATTGTCCCTCCGCTACACCCACTAGCCAATCAGAGTGAGCATGCAAATTAACCCAACAAAGATGGCGGTTAGTGCTTGCTTCAGCAGCACGTATACTAAAATTGGAACAATACAGAGATTAGCATGGCCCCTGCGCAAGGATGACACGCAAATTCGTGAAGCATTCCGTATTTTGCACCGCGCTCTCGTGGGCTGGGAAAAGGTATGAGTCAAAGCACACTGTGTGGCACTCAACGAAAGCCTGACTTTTGAGCAAAAAAAAGAAAAGATGGCGGTTAATTTGCATATGCAGGCACGGAGCGAAGACTGAAGACAGCCTAGAAGGAAGCCAAGCACTGCAGAAGGGAGCAAAGCGGCGGAGAAGGGGGGGAGCCGAGGCAGCGGAGACAGTAGGGGAGCCGAGGCAGCGGACACAGGAGCGGAGCCGAGGCAGCGAAGAAGGGAGCAAAGTGCGCCAAGGCAGGCTTAGCTCCCTTCTCCGTGGCTTCACTCCGGCTGCAGGAAGCCCTATTCTTGCAGGAATCTTCCTGCAACGGGCCTCTAATACACACACACACACACACAAAACATCAATGAAACCAAGAGCTGGTTCTTTAAAAAGATAAACAAGATTGATGAACCATTCATTAGCCAGACTCATCAATAAACAAACAGAGAGGGCCCAAATAAATAAAATCAGAAATGAAAGCAGAGAAGTAAAAACTGACACCACAGAAATACAAGGGATTGTAAGAAAATACTATGAACAACTATATGACAAGCTAGACCAGCCGTGGGCAAACTATGGCCCGCGGGCCGGATCCGGCCTGTTTGAAATGAATAAAACTAAAAAAAAAAAAAAGACCGTACCCTTTTATGTAATGATGTTTACTTTGAATTTATATTAGTTCACACAAACACTCCATCCATGCTTTTGTTCCGGCCCTCCGGTCCAGTTTAAGAACCCATTGTGGCCCTCGAGTCAAAAAGTTTGCCCACCCCTGAGCTAGACAATGTGGATGAAATGGGAAAATTCCTAGAAGAATACAATCTCCCAAAACTGAATCAGGAAGAATCAGAAAACCTGAATAGGCCAATAGCAATTGATGAAAGTGAAGTAGTAATTAAAAAAAAAAACTCCCAGCAAACAAAAACCCTGGTCTGACAGCTTCACAGGAGAGTTTTATCAAACATTCAAAGAAGAACTAACACTTATAGTCCTCAAACTATTCCAAAAAAATCCAACAGGAAGGAACACTCCCGTGTTCTTTTTATGAGTCAAGCATTATCCTAATTCCAAAATCAGATAAAGACTCTGCAAAGAAAGAGAACTACAGGCCAATATCTCTGATGAACACAGATGCTAAAATCCTCAACAAAATATTAGCAAATTGGATCCAGCAATATATTAAAAAGATCATACACCATGACCAAGTGGTATTTATTCCAGGGATGCAAGGCTGGTACCGTATTTGCAAATCAATAAATGTAATACATAACATAAACAAATTGAAAGACAAAAATCACATGATCTTATCAATAGATGCAGAAAAAACTTTTGACAAAATCCAACACCCATTTTTGATTTAAAAAGAAACCTCTCAGCAAAGTGGGAAAAGAGGAATCATATCTCAACATAATAGAGGCCAGATATGACAAACCTACAGTGAGCATCATACTCAATGGGCAAAAACTAAAACCATTTCCTCTAAGAACAGGAACAAGACAGGGATTGCTGGAAGCCGGTCCAGCCTTGCTGCTTGACACAGTCGCTGCAGGGAAGAAACATCTGCACAGCATGTTTCAAGGGACCTGGCGTATATGGCATACTGTTCTTAATATGTTTGCTCCCCTTCTTGGCGCTATTTGTTTTAACCAAGGTCACCTCTCCTAGAAAGGTTGTTTCCCCGGGTAGGGATTTTTCCCTGAAGTTAGGGAGAGAATAAAACCCCTTAACTAAGTGCCAGGCAGGTAGTTCATCACTTTAACTACGAACAATCACGCTTAAGCTACATAATCTTTACTCCCTGGAATGGAGATAAGAAACGCCCTAACCTTTGGAATAGAAATTGATAGGATTAAAATCAACTGGAATAAATACAGATGTAACAAGACAATAAAACACAGAACCTGGCTGGAGATCCTGGCTAGGCTGATCACCTGAACGCTGTCTCCATGTCATTCCTTCTTCGCTGACTCCGTCCACATCTTTGGGAACCCCTGGGCCTGCTGGGGCAGGACCCCAACAAGGGATGTCCACTTTCACCACTTCTATCCAAAACTAGAGGCCCAGTGCACAAAAACCGTGCACTCGGCAGGGGTGGGGGGCCCCCCAGCCTGGCCTGTGCCCTCTCGCAGTCCGGGAGCCCATGGGGGATGTCCAACTTATGGCTAAGACCCACCCCTTGCGGGGAGACGGCCTAGGCTGGCAGTCGGACATCTTTAGCACTGGTGAAGATGTGGAGAAAAGGGAACCCTGCTGGTGGAATGCAGACTGGTGCAGCCATTATGGAAAACAGTATGGAGTTTCCTCAAAAAATTAAATATGGATCTGCCATTTGACCCAGTGATCCCACTTCTAGGAACATATCCTAAGAAATCTGAAACACCAATCAGAAAGGATGTATGTTCATAGCAGCGCAATAGCTAAGATCTGGAAACAGCCCCAGTGCCCATCAGTAGATGAATTGATAAAAAAGCTGTGGTTCATTTACACAATAGAATACTATGCAGCTGTAAAAAAAAGGAGCTCTTGCCCTTTGAGACAGCGTGGAGGGACCTGGAAAGTATCATGCTAAGCAAAATAAGGCACTCAGACAAGTATCACATGATCTCACTCATATGTGGAATCTAATGAACAAAATAAACTGATGAACAAAATAGATCCAGAAAGATAGACACAAGACAGCGGAGTCTCAGAGGGAAGGCAGGGGTGTGTAGGTGGGTAGAAAGAGATCAAAGAACCTGTATGCACATATGCATAACCCATGGACGCAGACAATAGGGGAATGAAGGCCTGGGGGGGGGGGGTAGGCAGGGGAGGCGCTAGAAGAGGTCAATTGGGGAAAAGGGCGGATAAGTAAACTTTCAACAGTAAAGAGTTAATTTTTAAAAATCTAAATAAAGGCAGTCAACCTGTTTTAGTTTTCAATAGGTAGTCAATGTTTGCTGAATGATGATGTCTAAACGTTGGTGAACGCCTAGGAGTGTCTGGCACACGTTCATCCCTGAGCTTTAAATCACAGTCTGGCCCTAAAGGTTAAAACCAGAACGGGCTCTATTTTTCTAATCAGCTTTCCTCATTGGAGAGCCCAAACTAGTAAAACTTCAGAAGCATTCTGGAACTTTTTAATTTGTCAAGAACACATTAAAAGGTTTATCATTGGGAGAGATCAACCAAAGGACTTGCATGCATATAAGCCTAACCAATGGACACGGACACGAGGGGCTGAGGGCAGAGTGGGGGAGGTGGGGGGGATAAGGACGCATATGTAATACCTTAATCAATAAAGAAATTTAAAAAATGAAAGGTTTATCATTTATCATTACTATCACTATAAAGCCATAAAAACACTTTGCAAGTAAATGGATAAAAAGAAAAATATCCAGAAAGGTAGACACATTATAAAATACAAGTTTTTGTAATGTATTAAAAGGACGGTATGACATCTTATTTTACGACAGTCCGTTATGGAACTTTTTTCTGGTTTAACTGTTGGTATAAATCTGAGTTCCAGAGTGACACAGCCCACTGGCCATGACGTTGTTTTTCAAACCCGTCTTGGGTAAACTAAGGAGCCGAGGGGAACGAACCTCCCCGCTCCCAGCCGCTTCTCCACCGAGAGCGGACAGGTCGGGACGCGTCACGACGAGGGAGGGCAGCTCCCGGCCCGGCGGCCCAACGAGGGGCCGCCGGTGGGGGCTGAGCTGCGAGCGACGCCGCTGAACGACCCCCAACACCCTCCGACTGGTGATGGGCCCCGAAAACAGACGTGGGGACGGAGCGCGGGCAGAGCTCCTGAAGCGAAAATGAATCTGCGCGCCTACCATTCCCACCGGAGTTTACACCTCCGACCGGCGCAACGCGCCACCCCGCGCAAACCCGGCACAAGATGGCGGCGCGTCAGATGCGTAACGTGATGACGTAGGACGGCGGCCGCGCGGTGGCCCCGCCTTAACCTCGCCCCCCACGCTCGCTCAGTGTTGACCCCCCTCCCTTCCCCGCCCCCGGCCTGGAGCAGATCATGCCGCCGGTGGCGGCCCTGACTGCCGAGGAAACGGTCGCCTAGGACAGTTGGCTGTTCGGTGACACTGCTTCTCCCCGCCCCGCCAGGCGTTTGAGAGGCACGTCCCCCGCCGCGTGACGGGGTGGGGAAGTAGGTAGTAAACTCGGAGCCACCTGGGAGGGGGGAGTGGAAGTTCCCGCCCCGGAGAGCGGCGAGGCGACAGCCACAGGTAAGCGGGGGGCGGGGGTGGGGCGTGCTCCCGAGTCCCCTGGCGGGGGGCGGGTGCGGGGACGCCGCGCTGCGGGGACGCCGAGCCGGGCAGCTCGCCGGCTGGGGGGTCGCGCGCGGGCGGCCGCGGTGGGGGAGGGGTGCGGAGGGCGCTCGGCGGAAGGGGGAGGGCTCGCCCGCTGTCCCCCGGCCTCGCGCGCTTCCGGTTCTCGCGCCGGGGCTGCGCTGTTTGCCGTCAGTGGCGGGTCTCTCCCCCGCTCCCCGCGGCCCCCGATCAGATGAACTCGAAGACCTCCCGCCGCGGGGCGGCTGTCGCCTCCGAAGCCGCCCTCCCACGGGTCTGGGCGCGTGCCCTCGGCGGAAGGGCCGGTGGTTGGCGCGGGGAGCCGGGGCGGGCGGCGTGGCCTTGGCGTTCGCGCGCGGTTGGCGGAGCGCGGCCGGGGACCGGTTACCTTCTCCGGAGAGCCCACGGCCGCGCACCGGGCGCCCTCGGGGTGCCAGGCCCCAGGTCTGCCCGCCGTGCAGGGCAGGAACGGCCCTTACCTTCTTAGACTTGACAGTCGAGTGGGGAGACAGTAAAATAGTCAGACAGACACACAGCAGTCACGGAAAGATGCAGGTGATGAGCGAGAAGGCGGGTGTGGACCCGCAGAAGGTCGTCTGTTAGCTCTGGACCCACGACTAAGCCGAGGACGCGTCTGTGATGGTCCTCCCCCGAGTCGTGAATCTAAGCGAGGGATCCCAGAGCGTCAGCTGCCGGGCAGCGGGCAGCATCGTCGCTCCGAAATTGTGGTCGATGTCAGAGAATGTCTGCTTACTCGGTTAGCTCCCGAGGCCGGGGGGCTGCGGGCACTGAGCGCCTTTGCCCTCCGAGGCTTTTTCGGCACGGGCTTGGCAAGATCTTCGTCAAACTGGCCGTTTGGGATGAGAGCTCGTACTCTTACGTTTGCAAAACGTGTTTTATCCTGAGACTTCCGTTACCAACACAACAGAGACACGCCGTTTTATTAAAACGCTATTTTTCTTATACATGAAAGCGTGCGGTCTCCTCTAGCTCAATCAGAATAATTCTTTTGTTCTAAACTTGAATGTATTCGCTCTATTATTTGTAGATATCTTTTTTTTGTAGATATCTTTTAAGGTTTTGTTTGGTCTGTGATACATCTTACAGTACTATATCACCAGTAGGAGATAGTCCCATCTAAAAATACTTTTAAAATGCTTCCCCCATTTATTTATAATGAATTTTCAACTCTAACATAGAGTGTTTTCCTGTGCCTGAATTGTCCCTGTTTCTAAGGCTGGGTTGAGATAATTGTCTAAACATAGTTATTTAACCCATTGTTTCTATCAGTTTTAAGTAGGTAAGCCGAACTAAACACATGGATTTATTCAACAGTAATAAATGTATAAGGTATTAGTGTTATATTGGGAACAGGATGTGGTCTTTGACTCCCTGGAGCTTGCATTCTGTGGGACGGAAAGCAGGCAATTAAATACTGTGATAAGTGCCATGAGAAGAGGGGGAACGTGCGGGAGGTGCTAGGCCAGCCTAAGGGAGGTAGGAGAGTTTGCCCTGAAGAATAACCATAGGAACAGGTCACATGGAGAGAAGGGGGATAGTGTTTCTGCAGAGGGAATATGTATAAAATCCTGAAAGTGAGAGAAAGCGAGGCAGGCACGTTTGAAGATCTGAAAGAAATTCAGTATGACTAAAGCAATTTTGAGGGGAGATCATGAATTCAGTTGTGGAAAAGGTGAGCAAGAAGACGCCTTGCCTCAAGCTTTCTCATAGTTCAACATCCTCTATAGGTGAGGGACTAAGACTCTCTCCATTCATCATATGAGAGTACTACACTGTATTTGCTGATGTTTACTATTTACTGTATATGTGAGGGTCTCTGCTGGGCACAAAACATACATTCACATGATACAAGCACTGACCTTAGGTGCCTTAAGACTAAGGGAAACAGTGGCAGGGGTGGGGGTGGTGTGGAAGAGGGTATGGGGGATAAATTGTGATGATAAATAAATAAAAGTTTTTAAAAAGACTAAGGGAAACTGACATGCCAATAAACACAGTTCAGAGTGTTAAGTAACCTCCTCAGAAATATCTGCAATGCACCGTGGAAGCACTGAGAAAGGAGGGACCTGGATCAATAGGGAACATAATGTTTGGGATGTAACTTGAAAACAAGTTTGTCAGGTGGACAAGTAGGGAATGTGAGAGTAGAGGGGCAATGCAGAAAAAAAGAACATAGACTTTGGATTAAAACAGTTCTGGTCGCAGGTCTTGCATTCACATCTTACTGTGAGATCCACAGTAAATGACAATTTTTTTGAGCCTCAATTTAGGGAATCCATCAGGTAATATATTTAAAAGCTCCTGGTGTCTAGCACATAGTTCTTTTTTCCTTTGAAAGTTTTCTCTAAGGTGCTATGCTTTGCTCTGGCTGGTTAGCTCAATTGTTTAGACTAGAGCAGTGATGGCGAACCTATGACATGCGTGTCAGAGGTGACACGCGAACTCATTTTTTTGGTTGCTTTTTCTTTGTTAAATGGCATTTAAATATATAAAATAAATATCAAAAATATAAGTCTTTGTTTTACTATGGTTGCAAATATCAAAAAATTTCTATGTGTGACACGGCACCAGAGTTAAGTTAGGGTTTTTCAAAATGCTGACACGCCGAGCTCAAAAGGTTCGCCATCACTGGACTAGAGCATCATCCCAACTTCAAGGTTTCGGGTATCATCTCCCTTCAGAGCACATATAAGAAGCGACCAATGAATGCATAAATAAATGGAACAACAAATCCATGTTTCTCTCTGTTCCTTCCTATCTCTATTTTAAAAAAAAAAAAGTACCATGCCTTTACTTATATTTCTCACTATGTCGTCAGCAAGATCACAGCCTGCTGCTATTTCTCAGCTCTCCACATACTTGGTACTTTTGAAGCTGTTCCACTGCCTCCTTGTGATTCTGCCCTACTTGAGGTTGTCTCATCTAAGCTTCCAGCAGCTGCCCAGGGCTTACTTTACTTAAGTGCCTTTGTACACAAAATTTATTGTGTGTTGAGCAAGTTTTTAACAGATTGTTTATCTCAACCTCAGTTTTAGGAATAATAAGTAAAAATAAGTGAACAAATAAAGGTTATATTCTGATAACGTCATTAAAATACAGATTGTTTATAATGAGATGAAACTATAAAGCTGTTTTCATTTTGGGGGGAAAAGAAGCCGATTCCTCTTTTTTTTCCTTTTTTTTTTAAGGGATTATAAATTTTTTAGGTCACCTGATAAACCTGATGGGCTGAGCCCCAAAATGGCACCAGCCAAAACTGAGTCCTCCTTAAAAAAATCATTGAAAATAGGTTTTCTTCTTTTCCATAAGAAATATAGTTATAATAATTGTCCAAGATTCTATTTGCTAACTGTAGGAAATGTTTGTTGTTTTGTTGATCATGTTAGTTTCCATTAGATGTAGGATTTCATAATAATGTTAGGGAGGGAAAATCAGTGAGTCACAGCGGAACGAACAGAAGAGTAGCATTTCCAGTAATTTAACAAGCTTTTCAAAAATCTTATTTCAGTGCTTTAGCACATCGTTTTTCTTCTTAACTCTATATTCTAACCATGTCTTCTGAAATGGAGTGTTTAAAAAAGTCTATTTCACTAGAAATAGTATGTAGAAAATATGTAATTCTATCTTTGGCGCTGTCTGTATGTTTACTTTGTGGAATTACATTTGTATTAGTGTAGATGAAAAAAATCATGGCACTGTTCCTGAAGAAGAGACTATTAGGTAGGCTTAAAAGCAGTTGAAGAAAGAACAAAGGAAATAACTAGATGAATTTGTCAAAATCAAAAGTTTTAAAATAGCCTTGGCTGGTGTGGCTCAGTTGGTTCAAGCGTTGTCCCATACACCTAAAGGTTGCGGTCTGATCCCCAGTACAGGATGTTTGTCTTCTCTCTTGCTTTCTCTCTCTCAACCTGTCTTTTTCTCAACCCGTCTCTTTCTCTCCTCCTCCCCCTCTTCCTCTCCCTTCCTTTCTCTCCCTTCCTCTCTCTCTAAAAATCAGTAAAAGCATATGAAAACTTTTTAAAATAAGCATGGTTAAATTATATTGAGAAAGTATTTGTATCAACATAATAGAAATAAAATTTATATGAAGAGCTCTGGCTGGTGTGGCTCAGTTGGTTGGAGCAATGTCTCATACACTAAGTTTGCAGGTTTGAGTCACAGTCAGGGCCCATTTCTAGGTTGCGGGGTCGAGTTGTGTGCATGGTCAACCGATCAATGTTATGTTCCTCTTTCTCTCTTTCCTTCTCCCTCTCCTTCTCCCTCTCCCTCTAAAAAAATCAATGGCCCTCGCTGGTTTGGCTCAGTGGATAGAGCGAAGGCCTGCGGACTGAAGGGTCCCAGTGGCACGTGCCTGGGTTGCAGGCTCAATCCCCAGTAGGGGGCGTGCAGGAGGCAACCAATCAATGATTCTCTCTCATCATTGATGTTTCTCTCTCCCTCTCCCTTCCTCTCTCTGAAATCAATAAAAAATATATTTTAAAAAATCAGTGAAAACATGTCCTCACATGAGGATTAAAATAAATTTATGTGAAGAAATAATGGAGGCTAATAAGGAAAACACTAAGTTCTGGTAGGTGGATGGACAAGTAATATGAACAGATAGATAGCTCACAGAACTAATGGATATATACCTAGCAGTGGGATTGTTGGATCAAATAGTAATTCTATCTTTAATTATTTGAGGAACCACCATACTGCTTTTCACAGCAGCTGCAATATTTTACATTCTCACTACAGTGCACAAATGTTCCAATTTCTCCATATCCGCACCAACACATTTTCTTTTTTGTTTGTTTTATATTAGCCACCCTAATGGATATGAGGTGGTATCTCATTATAGTTTTGACTTGGCATTTTCCTAATGATATGATATTAAGCATCCTTTCATATGTTTGCAGGCTAGCCTTCTCTTTTTTTCTTTATTATGTCATTGCACAAAACCACAAAAACCTTAAATTCTACCCAGTTTTTTTTACCAGTCTTTTTCTAAGTAGTTCTTCATTTGACGTATTCCATCTCATATAACCCATTTATTCTCATTCTTAACCAGCTGCCATATCCTCCAGTTGATTAGATCAGCGAGATTTTTTAGAGCCTCCTTAGGTATAGGTTTATTTAGTTATTTAGTTAGTTCAACTTCTACTCAAATTTTCCACATAAAACTATATGTGCAATTAGAAACTGTCCTTAGGCTAGAGAAAAGAATGCTGTGCTATGTCCATGGACAGGAAGACTATCATCTTATATAATAAAACCCTAATATGCAAATCGACTGAACAGCGGAATGACCAGTTGCTATGATGCACACTGACCACCAGTGGGCAGACGCTCAATGCAGGAGCTGCCCCCTGGTGGTCGGTGTGCTCCCATGGGGAGCGCTGCTTAGCCAGAAGCCGGGCTCATGGCTGGTGAGTGTAGCAGGGGTGGCGGGAGCCTCTCCTGCTCCGTAGCAGTGCTAAGGACATCCCCTAAGGCAGTGGTCTGCAAACTGCGGCTCGGCAAACCGTGGCTCTCGAGCCATATGCAGCTCTTTGGCCCCTTGAGTGTGGCTCTTCCACAAAATACCGGCTCTTCCACAAAATACTGACTTCTGCGCATGGGCCACGAAGTTTCAATCGCACTATACGTGCACGCCCACACGTGGTATTTTGTGGAAGAGCCACACTCAGGGGCCAAAGAGCCGCATGTGGCTCACGAGCCGTGGTTTGCCAACCACAGCCCTAAGGGATCCTGGACTGCAAGAGGGTGCAGGCTGGGCTGAAGGGGGCCCCCCCCCCAAGTGCATGAATGTTGTACCCTGGGCCTCTAGTACTTAATAATATGTAAGGAAAAGTCTTTTTTTAGAGCCTCACCCAAGGATATTTTTCCACTGATTTGATTCTTTTTTTTTAGAGAGAGAGTAGAAGAGAGAGGGAAAGACAGAAATATCGATGTGAGAGAAACACATGGATTGATTGTCTTCTGCACGGCACATTCAGGGCCCTGGCAGGGGAGGAGCCTACAACCACAGTATGAGCCCTTGTCTGGCATTGAACCTGGGACCGTTCAGTCCGCAGGCTGATGCTCTATCCACAGTCAAACTGGTTAGGGCATCCCAATTCTCTTTAATGGAGGCAACCAAGTTATCAATTCTTACACAACTATGCAGTGTACTATACATATGCTACAGTATTTTTCATTACCAGTTTTAAGATCCTATGCTTAGATTGCTACACTCCCAGAGCAGAGTTGTGGGAGCATATTGAGTCTGGTTAAATTGAGCTCAGCCCATCGTATAGAAAAGCTTTGTCTTGTTCCTCTGAAAATGTATGGATGTTAAGAAAAGAAATGTCTTCAGATCTTTTGAAAATGATTAGAAAGCATCTTTTAATTGACTTTTTTTCTTTACAGTTGATTATGGAAGATTCCCACAAGAGTAACACTTCAGAGACAGCATCTCAGCCTGGTTCAACAGTTCAAGGAGCTCATATTTCTCATATTGCTCAACAGGTAAGGCAAGGACCAGCCAACATATTGAGCCAGTTAGGAATATTTTATATGCAGATTAATTGGTTGTTTCAGATCTCTAATTACTAATGTTTTAAAAAGAACCAAGCCAAAAACAAAAACAAACTATAAAGTGTTGAAATACATGGAAGGTAGATTTTATTTAAATACTAGTGTTCTGGTGCACGGATTTGTGCACATTGAAAGGAAATTAATTAGAAGAAATATTTTTTTTTTTTAGAAGAAATATTTTAATATCGCTATTCACCCTTTCTCTATCATAGAAGTGTCAACCAAATTCACAATCAACAATGACAGACCTGAACACATGCTTGTGATTGGCGCCAGCAAGAGCTTTATATGTATCGCACATGTGCAAGTCAACTTAGCCTTTTATATATGTAGAATAAACTTGCTTAATTAGACCTGCTTTCTGATTTAGCTAAATTTTTTCCAGCCCAGTGAAGCACCCCAACTTCTCTTTCAAGTAATTGTCAGCAACACAGCAGTAAATATCAACATGAAGCACATTATTATTGTAGATCACACAGGGCGAACAAAGGGTTTGACTACAGTAGTGTTTGACTATATTCTGCGCAGTGAGAAAACCTGAAGTCATTTTCAAGCTCTACCATTTCTTCTTTTTAGTCGGGTCAAGTTTCTAAACTTTCTACATCTTCGTTTTCTGGCTAATGAAAAGAAAATAGGATTCCACTGAGTCTCCTATCTACCTACTCAGGACCTATGTGAGGATCAAATGAGATGAGGCGTGTGAAAACGCTTTACAAACATTTGGTTAAAGTGTAAAATGTTTGCACCTGGCTATAAAGCAAACTCCAAGGAGGCTAGTTGCTAGGGAGAGGAAGCCGGGCATTGCTACGTGATGCCATTACCCAGCATCCACAGTGACCATTCGGGCTGGGCTGGGGCCTTCATTTTGCACCATGGGGTCTTGGCAGAGTTGGCTGTGATTTGGTTTGGTGTAGCTCCGGGGTGGTGGTGGGGCCTGTGTCCCACTTGGGGAAAGCCGGGTGTTGGTTTGTCGCCGCCAGGTCCGTGGTGCCGTTTATTTTTAAAAGGCCAGTGCGTGTCATGGCAGCTCCTGTGTTGAGCATCTGCCCCCTGGTGGTCAGTGCTCATCATAGCTATCGGTCAGACAGATACTTAGCCTTTTATAAAAAAATATTTTTTTATTCATTTCAGAGAGGAAGGGAGAGGGAGAGCGAGAGAGAGAAACATTAATGATGAGAGAGAATCATCGATCGGACGCCTCCCGCACACCCCCACTGGGGACCGAGCCCACAACCGGGGCACGTGCCCTTGACCGGAATTGAACCTGGGACCCTTCAGTCCACAGGTAGATGCTCTATCCAGTGAGCCAAACCAGCTAGCGCAGTCTTTTATACATATATATATATATAAATCTTGTCAAGATCATTCAGTTTTCTTTTATACAATGTATATTTAATGTTGTATATACTTTTCAAAACTTGAAGTAGATTTCATTTTATGTGGCGCATGATTTAGATTTTTTTAGACCAATTTTGTTGCTGCTAAAGAAAGTGAAAATTATTTGGCTTATTACACTAATTTAAACAGACTAATAGTTACAGGAGTAGATTTTCAGGTCAATAGATTTATTGTGGGTATACAGAAAATATTTTTGTTGAACTGGAAAATAGTCATATTCATTAGAGGATTTAAATGGACAGGCATGTGTACTGCAGAACTGATGTTCATATTTTTATTTATTTATATATTTTTATTCATATCAGAGAGAGAGGGAGAGGGAAAAAGAGATAGAAACATCAATTATGAGAATCATTGATAGGCTGCCTCTTGCTCTAGGGATTGAGCCCTCCCGGGCATGTGCCCTTGACCAGAATCGAACCTGGGATTCTTCAGTCTGCAGGCCGGCGTTCTATCCACGGAGCCAAACTGGCTAGGGCAGAACTGATGTTTTTAAATTTCAAATTGTCTGATCCATGCACCTGACCCAGTTCAAGGGCAACAACTGGCAGGATTTGTTGCCAGTGGGGAGATATGAACATTCAAGCAAAAAGTAGAATTTTGGAAAACTTTTATTCACCATTGTGAACTTGACAGCTTCCTAATAATTACAAACTTTTTTAACAAAGTCATGTATGGGTACAAGACCCATTCAGAGTGCAAGACAGACCGGTGGATTTTAATGTTAGCAGAGTAAACAGAGTTCAGATTGTACCTTGCAAACAAACTTTAAGAAACTACAAACTGTCAAGTTTTGATGTGGTATCAAAGAAGAATATTTACAATTACCTGAAAAGACTATTAAAACACTCCTCCCCTCAACCAAAATAACATATGGCAACATATTTAATGTAGAAGCAGTAAGAGAATTTAGCCATTTTCTATTAACTCATTAAGGAGATTTGAAGAAATGTAAAGCAATGTTTTCTTTTTGTTTTGTTTTGTTTTTTTTTTTTTTTTTTTTTTTTTTTATTTTTTTATTTTTTTATTTTATTTTATTTTTTTTTATTTTATTTTTTTATTTATTTATTTTTTTTTAATTAAATCTTTATTGTTCAGATTATTACATTTGTTCCTCTTTTTTTTCCCCCCATAACTCCCCTCCTCCCAGTTCCCGCCCCACCCTCCGCCCTCACTCCCCACCCACTGTCCTCATCCATAGGTGCACGATTTTTGTCCAGTCTCTTCCCGCATCTCCCACACCCCTTTCCCCCCCAGGAATAGTCAGTCCATTCCCTTTCTATGTCCCTGATTCTATTATAATCAACAGTTCATTCTGTTCATCAGATTATTTATTCACTTGATTCTTAGATTCACTTGTTGATAGATGCATATTTGTTGTTCATAATTTGTATCTTTACCTTTTTCTTCCTCTTCCCCTTCTTAAAGGATACCTTTCAGCATTTCATATAATCCTGGTTTGGTGGTGATGAACTCCTTTAGCTTTTCCTTATCTGTGAAGCTCTTTATCTGACCTTCAATTCTGAATGATAGCTTTGCTGGATAAAGTAATCTTGGTTGTAGGTTCTTGGTATTCATCACTTTGAATATTTCTTGCCACTCCCTTCTGGCCTGCAAAGTTTCTGTTGAGAAATCAGCTGACAGTCGTATGGGTATTCCCTTGTAGGTAACTGAGTTTCTTTCTCTTGCTGTTTTTAAGATTCTCTCTTTATCTTTTGCTCTTGGCATTTTAATTATGATGTGTCTTGGTGTGGTCCTCTTTGGATTCCTTTTGTTTGGGGTTCTCCGCGCTTCTTGGACCTGTAAGTCCATTTCTTTCACCAGGTGGGGGAAGTTTTCTGTCATTATTTCTTCAAATAGGTTTTCAATATCTTGCTCTCTCTCATCTTCTGGCACCCCTATAATTCTGATGTTGGTACGCTTGAAGCTGTCCCAGAGGCTCCTTACACTATCCTCGCATTTTTGGATTCTTTTTTCATTTTGCTTTTCCGGTTGGGTGTTTTTTGCTTCCTCGCATTTCAAATCATTGACTTGATTCTTGCGCTCCTCTGGTCTGCTGTCGGGAGTCTGTATAATATTCGTTATTTCAGTCCGTGTATGCTTAATTTCTAGTTGGTTCCCCAATATAAGATCGAGGGTCTTATTAGTTTTCTTGTAGATCTCATTAAGTTTATCGACGGCTTCTAAACAGTTCTTGAGAGACCTTAAAAGTGTGGTTCTGAACTCTATATCTTCCATTGACAATTTTGTCCTGTTTCTTTGTCTCCGCATTTTGTTATGCTTCCTTGGTGCACCCCCTAGTGGTCTTTGTTCACAGTCTTATAGTTAAATCTTGATTGTTGTAGCTAATTCCAGGGAGGGTTTGACCTCCAGGCCAAGTGGCTATGAGAATCAGCTGTGTCAGCAGTGAGAGAACTTCTGTCCTCTAGGGAGGTGCTAATCTAGCCTTTGCCTGAGGCTATCCGGCAAATGCCTGTGTGCAGGGCTTGGGCGGGGCGGGTCGCACAGGATCAACAGGGTGGGCCGGAGAGAGCAGTTATGGCGGCTCTCAGTCCTGTCCCCAGGGGCTCTGCCTCTCTGAGTCCCAGCACCCGCTGCAAAGCTCAGAGAGAAAGCTGCACTCGCTCTGACCGAAGCCAGACAGTCCCGCTTCTCCCGTTTGAGTCTGGGTCCCTAAAGACTCCCCTGTATCTGGAGCTCAGAGTCTGCGACTCCCTCCCGATTGAAAACGCCAACCGCGCCCTCCGCAGCCAGCCCGCTCCGCGCACTCCGCACCTCAGAATTTGACTTCAGCACTGCGCCTCCTCTGAGTGTCCGTATGCGTTTCTCTTTCCTCCTAGTTGTAGGACTTCCACTCAGGCAGCGTTCCTGTGGTTCTGGGTGATGTCCCTTCCGTTTTTTGGTTTCACTTTTGAAGTAGTTGTTCAAAGCAGCAAACTCCAGCGTTAACCTATGCCGCCATCTTGGTTCTCTCTCTTGTTTTGTTTTTAATTAAATCGTTATTGTTCAGATTATTACATTTGTTCCTTTTTTTTCCCCCCACAACTCCCCTCCACCCAGTTCCCACCCCAACCTCCGCGCTCTCTCCCCACCCACTGTCCTCATCCATAGGTGTATTACTTCTGTCCAGTCTCTTCCTGCATCCCTCACACCCCTTTCCCCCCAAGAATAGCCAGTCCACTCCCTTTCTATGTCCTTGATTCTATTGTAATCACTAGTTTATTCTGTTCATCAGATTATTTATTCACTTGATTTTTAGATTCACTTGTTGATAGATGCATATTTGTTGTTCATAATTTGTATCTTTATCTTTTTCTTCTTCTTCCTCTTCTTAAAGGATACCTTTCAGCATTTCATATAATACTGGTTTGGTGGTGATGAACTCCTTTAGCTTTTCCTTATCTGTGAAGCTCTTTATCTGACCTTCAATTCTGAATGATAGCTTTGTTGGATAAAATAATCTTGGTTGTAGGTTCTTGGCATTCATCACTTTGAATATTTCTTGCCACTCCCTTCTGGCCTGCAAAGTTTCT